GTGAAGCCCTGAGGACAGAGGGAAGGTGCGCTCTGAATAAAGCTGTTGCTCAGCACATAGTAATGTTATTTAGGTAGAATTTGAATTATTACTTAGCCCCTCTGTTATGATTTGCTCAGATTAATGCACACGCTTAAGGCAGCTGTTCGGTATGTATATAGCAATGGATCAAATAACTGTGACAGGGTTCACTTGTAGTGTCGAACTCGTAGAAAATTATCACCCTAACTTTACAGAGTCCCCTCAGTTCTACAAAGTTTTATAGCTTTCTGTTTCTCATTGTTTTGAGCTAAACAAAGCGATTTTAAACTTTAGAAGGTTAGTGACTAGACCTCTGTGGTGAACATAGCATTTAGCAGCTACAGAGATGTTTCCCTCAGGAGTCAGTGGAGACTGAAACAGAACTACAAGGACAGTGAATGTCAGACCTGGCAGAAACAGGACTCTGCATGCATGCTAATGCTGTTGATTTCTTAGGTTCACTATATTTAATGGCAAAAGAAATTGATCAAGTATGGGTATGCTCACAGCATATTTCCATTGCACCAAAGTGACCAAAAGATCTGTTACTGCAGGTTTAAAAGTGCAGAATGTTAAAAGAAGTAAGTGGTATAATGAGGCACAAAGGGAAAATAAGGTTGTGACTAAAGACAGGAATAAAAAGTTCATTTTGCACAGACATTCATGTACCCCAGAGTATACATGCAAATGAGTGATTCCTCAGTCTTTCCTCTAGAGCCACCACGATTCAGGGTAAAATAATAACCACTACTGACAGAGCCTCCATGGATTTTTGCCCATGTCTACCTCAAGATTATTGTTTGTTGGCTGGTTTATCAGCTCTGGAGCAGAGGTTTTTATGTTTACTGTGTAAACTGCAGAGCACAGTGACTCTTTACAGCACCTTCTATATGCTGTACACATACATTTAGTAAAGAAGCTTAGAGTGCACCAAACTGGCACCTTCTGCAGTAGTGTGGTCACCAAGGCCAGCTGAACAAGACTGAGACCAGAGTGTATTGAGACCGAGACAAGACCAAGACTTAAGGGCTGGAGACTGAGTCAAGACCAAGACCAAGACCAGTGCAGTTAAGCTGAATTTGATAGTTTGATAGTACTGGTTCGCTTGTATTTCAGTGAGACTAATGACACTAGAGTGACTTTATTGATTAGATTTCCCAACAAAAGTTCCCCAAAATTATACAAAAGCTTAAGATTGGTCTTTAGATCAAGACTGATCTTGAGTACTGCAGGGGCCGTCTACAGAGTGCTACATCAAAAGCCTATTACAAAAAGTATTAAACAACTTGAAATATTAAATAACTGAAATAGCTCTTACAGCTCTTATAGTATGGTAGACCTACAGTCAAATTCAGACCAGCCATCAGGGGCCTCCTATTGGTTATAATAAAACACATACATAGGTATTTGCATTGGTCTTGGTCTTGACTTGGTCTCAAACCCTTAAGTTTTGGTCTGGTCTCGGTCTGGATACACTCCAGTCTTGGTCTTGTTTAGTTGGTCTTGACTACAACACTGTTCTACAGTTGACAAATTAAGGCATCAAAGAACAGCAAGTTTTTCACCAGGTCATTTGAAGGCAATAAATGCATATTAAAGCCACTAACGTAAATGCATTATTCACGAAATTTAAACCATGCATTACTGTCACATTTGACACAGGAAGTGGCTGAAGGCATGCAGTGCGTGTAGAGGAAACAAACACAGACACAATCAGTGTTGATTACATCAGAGTAACCTGCTCTGAAAAAAATGTGGATGATGATATGGGAGAAGGCAGGCAGACAGGATGCAATGTGGATTAGAGTTAGCGCTCCTCTACTCTGTAGTACTAAGATAAATATCAGGCTTTGTGTCTTATGACCCAGGAGATAATCCCTCTTGACCAGCCTCAAACATTGAATGTTCTCCTATCACCTAATCAAAACTATCTGTCAGGGGCAGCTGTTTGTGGGATGCAGGTGTGACTGTGTGAGAGTATCATGATGGATTTGGAGAAAAGACAAAAAGCAAAGGTATTGCTTTGTAGGTGTGTTATATAGTTGACCATACATGTCTATGGTTGTATGAAATGCTACTGAGGCCTGATCTGTGAGTGCAGTCTGACTGCTGTTAGGTTTACGTCGTAAGTTACATCATTGTGACACATTATTTGTCTGCTTTCCATTCCACTAGTAATGTATGTGAGCTGTGTTATGGGAAATGTGGACTTGAATGTGGACGAACTGTTGCATTGTTTCACTGGGTATTAAAGCATCACGGGGGCCATTAAACTACATGAGAGGTAGAAAATATACACCGGCTGGAAAATATAAGCGCAGATCATTTGCATATACTGTACTCTATGCACATGCCGAGTCTAGTTCATGCCTGTTTGGTTTGTCTTTGAACTGTATTAAGCTGCATGGCAACATCTTGGAATGATGGTTTAAAAGGAACATTTGATTTCCCTGGAGGAGGCCTTCGATGAATCAGGCACATTTTTAAAATTTTTATTTTTACTTATATTTCCAGAAATGGGTATCCTAGTTTGTAATTGCTTTTCAGTCACAACTTTGGATCAAAGCCCGGGCTGACCCGGGGCCTTTCTGCATGAAGTCTGCATGTTCTCCCTGTGCCTGCATGGGCTCTCTCCGGACACTCCAGCTTCCTCCCACAGTTTGAAGACATGCAGCTTAGGTTGACTGGTGACTCTGAATTGCCCCTAGGAGTGAGTGTGGGTGTGTGTGGTTGTTTGTCTACATGTCAACCCAGTGATAGACTGTCCAGCGTGTACCCCGGGATTGGCTCCAGCCCCCCCTGCGGCTCTCTTCAGGATAAGCGGTATTGATAATGGATGGATGGGTGGATGCTTTGGATGACATTTTTCTGCTGCTCCCTCAGTCCTGAATCATGTTTTATTTGCAGCATTAAGTGCTAAACCCATCTGTCGCAGCACAGACATATTTAGAAATCTAAAGGCACAATCCATGTAAACGAAACAAAGCTACAGAAAGGTTTGCCAAAGTGAAGGCAGTGCTTTTTCAAGTATCATACCTACTAGTGATTACTTTAAAAACTAAGGGATAATGCATAGAAATGTTACACCATTTTATCTGGATGGACGTGTCACAGGATTATATTACAGTTTAAGCAAGTTGTTAGGCAGCTGTGACGTCAGTTGACCTTTTCTTTTTCTCTTCAACAATGCTCATAACATATATCAATGGCATATTTTCTTAATTATTAGTTATATAATAATGTATTACTTGACTGCCCTTATTAACATTTAAAATATTAGGCTGTGTGTGTGTAAGGGAGAGAGAGGGAGAAAAATGAAGAAGCGTGTAGTGAATTTTTTGTTTATTTCCACTAAATGCTCTCAGCTGACAAGAAAAAATTAGGGGACATTTTTAGATGTTCTTCTTCCAGTTGCACACGCTCTCTGAACTCTGAATTGCTACAAACTACAGATGTGCGAGTGCATGTTTGTGCATTTGTGCATGTGTTTAAATCATGGTGGAGACGTGAATGATGGCATGCTTCCATGTGATACTGCAGTTTGAGGAATGATCCTTTAATGCTTCTGGTCTGTGTTAAGTGCATATGAGGTCCAATTTTAGAGGTCACACAGACACTGAATAGCATTTTTCATAAATACCACTTACAAAATGACAACGAAGAAGGAGAAAAAGACTATTCAGCAACTAACCTGTGATCAGAATTTATCTACGACCACTGAGCCAGACCTCAGATGAAGGGATTTTCTTATACACCCCGACAAAAATAAGATCTAAAAGTAACTGACAGGATCCCACAGCGTTTTGTGATTCTCATTCAAAGGCTGCAGCAAAGTCCTGTTGTATGTAACAAAAGCCTCACCAGTCACACCCTTTCCAGAACGATTATGATGGCACTACATAAAACATTTGTTTATTTTTAGATGCTAGAATGACCAAGGACCAATCTTTTTCAAGTCACATCACAGTTAATTAATTCATCAAGTGTTTTCACAACCATGTTCAGTCCATCTGCCTTCTGCAGAAATATCACTACACACGTGTTTACATCAGAGTCCACACTGGCACCTTTAGCTGTCCACTGACTCTGAGGTGACAACAAGGGTCGTTCCAACCAAACTGTGCATTGTGTGTTATGTGTTGCATTGTGCAACTATGGTAATACAAAGTGGAACCAGGATGGTAAATGTGCAAACTATACCAGATGATTCATTGTATATACAGTTTGGATAATAACGTTACATGCAGCTGCGGTATGTCTTCCTCCTCATTAACTGTTATTGAAGCAGCTGTAGGTTTTTCAGAGGAAGGATTTTCATGTATTTTACTTTCAAATTCTGCAGGTGGACTGCTTTATTCACTCCAGTCAGGCCATGCCTCATGGCCCCAGTCCTATTTTCCTCCATCTTATCCCATCAAAAAAAAAAAAAGATCACAACTTCTTTTTTAAAACAAAATACAATAATTATCTTTTTTAATTAAAGAAAATACTTCCATGTAAATAAATAAAGAAAATGCCAATATCATTTACAAGCAATTTACAATGTCTGATATCAGGACGCTAAGCAAACTGTCTGTAGGACAGCCGAGGCCTGCCAGTATTAAAATTAGACAACTTTTAATTTGTTATTTGTGTGCACATCACACATGGCCTGACACAGGCCTCATTTTGCTTTCATAGTTCAGCGGCGTCTTCAGCTGCATATGGAGGAACTGTTTTGGAGATGAAGTCAAAAATAGTTTTTACTTGCAAAGTCTTCCTCAATTTTTTTAAAGAAGAGTGGAAGGAATGAGGGTTCTGTGTTGTCTCAAATGCAAAAAAAAAGAAAAAGAAATAGTGGTGCAAAAGTCATGAATCAGTAAAAACCAGTAAAAAAAAATCCTCTCACTCTTTGTGAGGCTTTATACCTGGTGTCCTTTGAAGCTGGTGCTGCATCAGTACAGCTACTCCTCTTTGCAGTGCCTGTTCTCTGATGCTGAGGAGGTGAATCATTCAGATATGTAAAAAAACAGCTTCTGTATTGTTTCTTTCTCTGCAGTTTCTGTGGCTGCCATGGTCACAAGACAAACTGAGGTAGCACATTGGAAACACTGAACTGTCATAAACTGACAGCAGCAGCAAAGAGCCATGTGCATTCATGAGAGCGACAGTTGCCCTCCCCCTCCTTGCTGCTGCCGCCGACCTCAGGCAGCACATCTGCCGCTATGTTTATAATGAAAACTATGGAGCCAGTGGTGGCAACTGCTCATTGTCTGAAAGCACCTTCATACAGTACTGGGCAAACACCTCAGCCTGGCTGGAAACCCCACCAGTGGAATGTTGTTCTCTGATTAGTGTATTGAATAACTTTACTGTCTTTGTTGTTGAAATTAATCAGCAAAAGTTAGGACACGTGTAGGAACTGTTTGCATCAATTTTCAAGGCCTCATTTACCTCCACTGCAGAAAAAGGCCTGGTTTATATGAAATTTACAATCTTTTTGTTTGTGTGTTTTACCTCTGGCAGTTTACTTTGTGCCTTAAGATTATTCACTGAACTCTTAACATGTCAGTAAAAACTGGAAAAATGTGGGTGTTCTAAAACCTTTGTCTGGTTGTATAAAAACACAGTATATTGCTATAATGAGGTAACATTTTTACTTTAAATTGACACACAGCATGTACAAACAAAAGGCAGGATGAATTTCAATGAATAATTTCTTTTTAAAATAGGCAGCCTTGGACTTCTATATAAAGGACAGCCTTTCACACTGCAGGGCAGACCACTGCAACCTATATGCCATGAATCTTCACAAAACATGAGGCCAGCTTTGCTTGGTAAGCCTATTCACCAAGCTGTCATCCACATTACTTCATTCTGCTGGTTCCTGTTCCTGTTTCTGTTTACCTGTTGTAGACTGATGGCCTCACCTGCCTGAGAGCAACCTTTCAGTGACCCTCTGCTCTTACTCCCTCCTCAGCAACCATTTTCCCCCCATATAGACATCGTGGCATCCTTGTCCAGCAGCCATTTAAAGGTCAAAGAGAGAGAGAGAGAAAGATTCCAGAAGTTCCAAAACTCCTGTGGACTGTGACGAGGACGCCACTGCCTTCCTTGAGTCACAGAGTAAAAATATTCAGTGACTTATTCATGTTCAGTTACTGTTGGAGCAGCGGCCCGGAGCCGCTGCTCCAACAAAGCTACAACATTTAGGAATCATCTAAGTGGACGATGAAATGATGACTATCAAAATAAAAGCATGAATTAACGAAATGGTACAAAAGTGATACAAATAGAAGAATTAAATAGCAAATGACTGATTGATATCTCCAGCTGCACTTTAATTATGCTACAGCTTAATGTGAAATAAAGACCAGCTGTACTTTTTCTGCCTTCAAATCCTCTGGCTTTCATTGTACCACACCACACAGTAATTGCATGTAAATGTCTTACTGTACATATTTGGCTCTTTACAAATGCATTGTCATTATTTAGACCTTTTTAGTGTATTTCTTTAATTTAATTCATTGGGCCTACTGGTTTTCTTATTGTTCATTTCTGAGGCATCTTCATACTTTAATTAGCAGCATGACATGACCCTCCACTGCCACATTGTTGAAATCATGTACATTTTATTTTTATAGCCCCGAATTATGGATTTGTCTCACCGGACCTTGCGATCTGTATCACACATAGTACCCTGTGCAGGCACCAGATAAGGAAGAGGAAAAATGAAATGAGGCTATTTATATTTGTTGTGTCTTATCATTGTCAGTGCAGTGGCTAAATATCCCTACAGGACACACAAAGACGCTCGTGCACACACACACACACACACAAAGAGAGAACGACAGTGGGAAAGAGAGTTTTTGCTTCACCATCATTGCAGTTTTTAGTTTTTCGATTTATATTTTGAAAGGGCTCACCGGACGTTAGGGGCTACATCCTGACTGGCTTGACAGAGGTGCAGCGCACCACCACAGTCTACATGCCAGTCCGACACACTTCAGTTCACTCTTCAACAGGAGTGAGGGTTAATTTAGAAAAGTAATTTTTGGACTCCATTGAAAAACAAACCAACATCCTGAGCCTGGCCTGTAGACCTTAACTGGACAAGGGTACATTTGTGAAGTCACAGGTTCAAATCTTTCTCTTCTTTCTTCAACCTGAGCGCGGACACGGGTGTGCGTCCCGGCTGTGTTCTCTGGACTGTACCAGCGATGATGGACCAGGCACTGAGATGAGCAGCGGGTGGTGTGGGGCTGCCAGGGGCGCAAGAAGAGGTCTGGACGCTTAGGTAAGAAGCTGTGCTGCTGGTGTTTACTCGAGGTTTCTGTCTCCAGGGTGGTGGTTGGCGGATAAAACTTTCTAAAACAGTCTAACTATGTGAGAAGTTCATTGTCTTGAATCTTGCACAGTGTTTATGGACCTGTAGCTCGAGGTTTTCATCAAAAAGCATCACCTCATTTTTGATAAATCCTTCCAGAGCTTTAATGTGTCCACCAAGCAATGCGCTGTCACTTTCCTGTGTTTTGTGTATGTGTTTGTACTTTCTATTTAGGGTGGACGAAAAAAAAAGTATTTTTGCCACAGTGAGGACATCCTTGGAAAGTGAGGATATTTTGGCTGGTCCCCACTTTCTGAAACACAATTTTAAGGGTTAAAAACTAAGGCTTAGTTTTGGGGTTCCGGTTAGAATTAGGTTTAGTGTTAGGGTTAGTCATTTAGTTCTGATGGCTAAGGTTGGGGCAAGGGGCTAGGGAACGCATTACGCCAATGAGTGTCCTCACAAAGATAGAAGTACAAATGTGTGTGTGTGCGTGTGCGTGGTCACAGCAGAAATGCGCTGTACATGAGCGCGTATCCGCTTATCCTAATGAAGGAATTAGAGAACACAGCCTAGTCAAAATGAACCGCTTCCTCCCTCAACAATCGATTGTGTTACGTCCTAATCTTTAGGACCACAGTGGGGTGAGCCAAGTTCACAAATGACGGCGATAAGATCATTCTGTGTTGATGTCCAGAGTTGATACATAGTTGTAGCCTAGTTTTACTGTAGTCGACACAAGGTGACATTAACGAGATATTGTAACTTGTGTTCCAGCTGGTTGATTGATGGTGAATGAGAGGCGTATGATTACTGGAAATTGAATTCTGGAAAGCTTAGAGTTAACCATTAAGGGGCGGGTAGACTGATATGAAGTGCTGCAGAAGGTTGGATATGCAAAATGACCTTTTTTGAACCCTAAATTTCTTGTCAACAGTGCATAAAGATGCGCCAGTCTTCATCTGATAATCTGTAATCTGCAGTGGGCAACCTCTGGCGTTATTTTGCTGTTCATGTTTGACATCTGCAGAGAGGAGTTAGCAGCTGCACACAACCCATGTAATAAGCCTTTATCACCTTATCAAGTCAGAGAACCCCTGCCAGTCATCAACAGTTAGGTTACAATAGCCAGTCATGGCCACATTAGACATAGTCCATTGTAAAGGTAGGTAGGTAGGTAGGTAGGTAGGTAGGACGGACTTTATTGATCCCACAATGGGGAAATTCCTGTGTTCCAGCAATAAAATTGCAACAGGTAATATGAATGCATCACCTTGGGGTGTGGGACATGTTGTTTAATGAATGCAGAAACTGTCTTGCTTATACATAGAGTTTTCAGCATTTCTGCAGGTTAGTTTCCCTCAGATGCATCTGTGCAAAGTTTTTGTCACTGACATTTAATGAATGAAATAATGCATCTATAATCAAATTGATAAATAATGAAAATAACAACCAGTTTGGATCTATGTGATCACAAGAAGCAAAACAATAAATGAAAATGCATGCCCTCTCTGGCTTTCTTGTAGGTGCTTCATTCACAGTCTTCATGTTTGTACCTTGACACTGAGCTCCAGTGACACAGGTGTGTACCTGGGCTCTCGACCTGGCCATTTCAACAATTGTATTCAGATTTAAAAGTGGATGAGAGGGGCTGATGTGAAACCTGAAACCTGTCCCGAGGAAGACATTCATTCTGTCACTCCTGATTTCCTTATTATGCTCAGGTACACAAAGTTTGCACTTGTTTGGTCACAAAAGATACCCCAATATAGTGCTTACACTATATTTGAGCCCAGTTTTGTGAAAATTGAGCCCTCTCTCTTCAGTGTGTCCTTTTGCCTCCTTCTGTGTTGTTTTTTTTTTCCCACTCTCCAAGAAGTATTCTGCTAAGTTGTCCTGCCTGAGAGCTCAGTGGTTTCCTGCAGACATCACACCACTCTGTGTTAGGGTATGATGGCCAGAGATCTGAGTTGTCAGGATAGACTGATACACATAAGGGGGACCTTTGCAAAGGGCAGATAACAAGAAAGCTGATGAAATAAGCTAATGTCTCTTATCCAATCACTTCTTCCTCTGTCAGACAAACATCGGTGCAATCAGTGTTCAGTGTGTGACACTGTGCTTTTAGTCAACCCCTACCCACGAGCTTTTCCTGTTTACTGACGTTTTTGTAACTTTGACATCTCATAGTGACACAGAAGCCCCTTTTCCACTGCCTGGTACCGACTCAACTTGACTTTGCTCGCCTTATTTGTTTTTCTATCAGTCAAATGTTGGAGATAGTACCTGGTACCTGGTACTTTCTTTGGTATCGCCTCCATTGAGGTTCCAAACAAGCAGAGGCGATACCAAACAGTGACATGTAAACACTGTAGACTAGCAATTGGTCAGAGAAATCGCATCATCAATGTGTGAAATGTCCTAGAACAAAGAGAGCGCCACTTTTGATATTTGTTAAGAATATTCAGAGATCTCATGCAAGGAACCTTGGTTCTTGCTGATTTCAGATGCTATATAAAGTTATGGCTGTTTGGAGCCTTTAGGGCAACATTTTTAAAAAAGTTACAGGCCTTGTGTTTTGTAATGAGGAAACATGTGAAGCACTGCAGCAGTGTGTTTCTCTGATGTCTTTTTAATCATATGTGAACAACAACAGAGGTCGATGGCACAGATAAATAAGCTGATCGGACAGACATTAACTCTCAGTAGAGGCAAATAATTGTTGGCTTCTGTCTCTGTATGGGGACTGTTTGAAATACTGTTAATATAGAAAATGTCCAGCCTTATCCTTTAAGGTTTTGGCCATCCCACAGATGCAGCTCAAATTGAGGCTGAGTGAACTGAAACTAAACTAAGAGACTACAGCCATGTTAGTAACCCGAGGCTGTTCTAAGGCACCAGGTGCTTTGACCTGAACCTTTTGCTAACATTTGCTCTGATTACTCTGGTGGAGGACAAGTCAGAGGACCGTCACATTAGTAAAATCCATTGTGAGGGAGACATGAATGTGTGTACCAAATTTCACTGCAATCCATCCAACCCTTGTCAGTACTTTAGAGTAAAAACCACAGATGTTAACCTAATGGGTGGGCTTGGAAGAAAGCAGGAATCACCAAGGTCATAGGCTTTGTCTTCTGGCGTTCTCTAACCATTCCCTGTGCAAAATTTTACAGTAATCCATCCAATAGTTGTTGAGATATTTAAACTGCTGGACTGACCAAGAAACTACTAAGAAGAGTAAGAAATGGATGGACCTGACTTTGAGTTTTATTAATATCTAGTTACTGTGACATCTTTAGCCACAACTGCCATTATGGTGCACATGCACACCCTGCCACTGGTTTCAAGCTGTTCTGCTGATTAAGAGTTGCTGGCGGTAATGTGCAACAAACATGACAGTGTTGACAGTGCGCAATTCAAAATATAAAACAATATATATTTATGTTTGCACGTGTTTTATGAGGAAAAAATGCAGCGAAGGATACAGGTGATATGTTTTGGTGAGAAACAGTGAATGTGAATAGAACTTTGTTGACACAAAAACTTCACTGTGTACCTTTAACTCTGTCCCAAAACGCACACACTGTTGAATTGACTAATAACGGCAAATGATGGTATATGTAAACCTGGAGTCAGGTTGTTTCTGAGCAACACAATTCTCGTCAAACTGTAACATTTAGAAGATGTTTGTGACTGGATTATTGAACACAAACAGCTTATCACATTTAGCATCATTTAGTCTGAGAAGGAAGGAGAAGACACTTTAATAAATACTTTAATCAACCAGGGAAAAGTTTATTAAGAAGCTGTTGTTGAACAGATTTTAATTGAAGCTTAAATTGCTTCACTTCTACACAATTTCTTTTTTAATTAAATCAATAAACAAATGAATAATAACACCATCAGAGTCTGGAAGCGAGTCCTGCTGTTTGTTTCGGTTCCTTTGTGCCCAGATGAACTATAACGTCCCCTCAGCTGTAAATTCCAGCAGATCATCCACAGGAAGTGTTCATCTACTGGCTTTGATTCACACTGACATTGTGAGATAAACACACACACGCTGACATTTCAGTGCTCAGTTGAACAGCAGGCATCTTTTTTATCATTAGTGGAAAGTAACTAGGTACATTTACTCAAGTAAATGTTTGAGGTCTCTGTACTTGATTCTCTGTTACTTCATACTTTGACCTCACCCCTATATTTTAGGTGCACATATTGTACTTGTTACTCCACTACATATATTTTATAACTTTAGTTAATAGTTACTTTGCCAAGCCAGATTAATACTACAATTACAGTATAATCACGAGACTGATCCCTGGAGGCAAATTCACAAGCTATTCAGCAGTAATTCAAATTAAAAGCATGTAAGCTCGTTAAAACCAACTCCCTCTTTACCAGCTGCAACATTAAATGTGATGTGCACAGTAGTGCATCAGTAATTATAGTACAGTATTATATACAGGACATTAACATGAACTGTGCTGTTTTGTATAATGAGTAGCCTACTTTTATTTTAATACTTTAAGTATGTTGTTTTGCTAAAACTTTGTACTTCTACTTATTAAGTGATATTTTGAATGAATGACTTTTACTTGTAATAGAGTATTTTTACACTGTGGTATTACTACTTTTACTTAAGTAACAGATCTGAGTACTTCTTTCACCACTGTATAGTATCACACAAGGTGAAGAAATGCTTGTTATGTGATTGCACTGTAATTAATGGATGAAAGGTATCTTCCATGTTTTCGAAGCAGTTGTGCAGCTGTACAGTCAGTCCAAACCTTTAATACCAGAAGCAATCATGGAACCAGGAACTGCTAAAGAAAACAGAATCATTTTTTGCATGTATTGAGAGAATATCTGCTGTATAAACACCACTGTTTATTTAATCAACATTGAACCAAACTGGTTTCTGACGCACACAGTCTTAACACACATATTCAGAGCACATTAGGAACAAATTG